GGTGCGCGGCGGCGGCGCCCCCTCGCAGGCTCCTCTCGGACAGACTGCGAACAGAAGCCACCAATCTGTCTCCCAGGTCGGAGTTGGCGTGGTTCCCAGCTGTTTTGCTGCCCCCTCCTCCGACTCGAAGTTTGGGCTTGAGGGGAGCAGTCTGATTCTGCCTCTGTTGTTGACCGAGGCTGCTGACGCTCCCTGAGCAAGTTTTGTTCTGGGTGTCAGCTCCGGACAAACCAGGCTCCTTCCCTCCGCGAACGGCGTCGGCTCTGCTTGATGCTGTCCTGCTGCCATCACCGGCGTCGTGTGCGCTTGTTCTGTGCTCGAGACTGGTTGACGGGCAGTCCCCGACTCCCTGCTGTCCTGATCCCTTGTCTTTCGGTGCACTTGCTTTTTCCTCTTTACAGCCGCTCCCGACAGCGCAACCCGTTGTTGCGCCACAACTGAGGCATTTGTTTCCGCTACTCAGGCTGGAGGCAGACTCGAGCTTCTTGCCAGTGGTGCTGGCTGATGTTTGAGAGTGGGGATCTGGGCTGGGCTCCGAGTCCTCCTCTCCCTCCTCCTGGTCGGTGAAGCTGTGCGCACTGTCGCCGTTGTTGTTCAGATGGTCGTGTTTGGTCCGCTCCCTCGCTGCCTCCGCGCTGCTGCTGCCAGCGGCCGTAAACTCACTCTTCTTTCTGCTTTTCCTCTGTACCTTGGCTGCGTTTCGGTACGATATGGACCCCTTGTAGCTAACTTTGAGCACCGTCTGCTCTTGAATTAGTTTTTCCAGTTCTGTCCTGGTTCGGTCCGGGTCTGACCCATGTCGCCTCCGGACCATTCGACAAATCCTGTCCAGATCGGGACGGGCTTTCCTCGAGCGGAGAGAGTCGATTGTTTCCAGGATCCACTCTCGGTACTTATTGGGCTCAGGCATCTTATCCAGTTGGTGCGGATGGGCTTTGGCCCGAGTGCGTCTTTTCCCCCTCTGTTGTTTCACAAGTGACGCTGTGTCAAAGCTGGAAACCAGAGTGCGAACCCCGGCTGGAGAACGAGGACGTAAGCTTGCCTGGTACGCTTGCGTTAGTTAGACACACTGTGCGCTTAAGGTAGACCGAAAATGGCGTCTAGTTCTCAGCCACAGACGCAATTGACATTTAAGGTGGAATTGGCTCTCTTTTAGAATTCTTTGTTCGCAGCCTCGGTCCTATCAACCCGCAATTTATTACTCTCGATTGTAACTATAAAAAGCCTGACTGCACAGTCCAAACAGTGAGCGGACGAGACGGCTGAGTAACCGGGTGTCGGGCTTTTAAGCGCTACGGCAAATCAGACTGAGTCGGGCGGTCAACAGATGGGTGGATGGCGCTCTCGTTCCGCATGAGGCGGCGCTGACGGATGTCTGACCTCTGGGCTACGACACTCTACTGCCAGGAACATTTAACATATAAGCACTTTTCTCCAAGTTGCAGCTGCTGAACAATAAAATGACCGCACACCCAGAGACACACAGCTCAATTTTACCAGTGAAACTTTATTGGAATGATACTCGTGTTTCAAAATATTACACTTCGTGTTTTATGTCACTGTTCCCGTGACTTCAGATGCTTCCCTTCGCAGTGTGTGTACGTGGGGTGTGGGTAGCCATGGTTTACACTGGGCTCTCATTTCCCTAAAAAGTGCGACAGTAGGGACCAGCACTGTGCCTGCATCGAGAGGAACTTGTATTATTGAAAAAAAAAACATTGAGGAGACACAGAAGAATATTGTATTATAACTTCCAACATTTTGTCCATGATGATATAATCGACATTAAACTTGACATGGGGAAAATACAGCGAATGTGAAGTCTCAACAAGTGGTTTACAACAATGTCTTATAATAATAATGCTAAGGCGATTTGTCGACCACCACCACCAATGAGCCACATGATGACTACATGTAGGGATGTAGCCTCTCTGCAGCTTTGGCCACCATCTGTCTACCAGTATTGATAACATGAGTTTTCAGCTTTCACCTGTCTATAGGAGAAAAAAGTGGAAGCAGTGCTCAGCAGCTGAACAATGAATATGAAAAGTTGCGACTGGTCAGACCAGGAAAAGTCAGCAACTGCCCTTGGCCCTCAGACCTCCAGGGGCCTCTAACAGCCCCAGGTTCACTGTGGCTATTGGTGTGTGGTAATCTGCTTAACTGTTACTTTAATTTGTAACATGCCACATTTAAGCAGCATCCTGCTGGCCGCCCACATTACGTGTAATGTGATGCTGGCTCATATTAGGGAGTGATAGTCAGGATATCTCTGTTGCCAGTGTCTCACAACTTATGGAAGTGCACGACCAAATCACTGGACTGGTCCTTTTAGGCCTTCATTAATACAGCTGATCCCGTGCATATTCCTAAATGTTGATCTGTTTTCATCAAACTGCCACATTTTAAACCTGAGGCCATACAACATTCCAGCACAGTAATACTGTACACAATGTACAGAGAGTGGGAGGAATGATATTCTAATAGGGGCCTGGGGCCCTCGAGCACATTAATCCAGCCACAGGCATCGGAGTCTAGAGACCTAAAAACCTCCAAACCGATTAATATCCTTCCATATGACAAATGATACACACACAGAACTACACATTGTGTAATTGTAAGAAATCCTTGTTATATTTTTCTATATCACAACTGTTTTGGATGGGAAGGACTCATGTGAATCAAAAATAGCCAGAGTTCAAAAGGATGAAAGAAAATCCATGGCACCTGTATGAGCCAAATTAGAATATCATCATTATGGAGGCACATGAAAATACGGCTATAACGAAGGCATTTTAATGTACAAAACAAACACTAGTGACACTTGGTTTTATTTTATAAATTCAGAATGAACAAATTCTACATTGACCTCCATTTTGGGCATTGCTTAAGTACTCTGCCATCATAGCTCAGGAGCCACGGAGACACTGAACACCTGAAGTTCTATGTGTCGTATACTTTAAACAGGAAGGTTGTACACCGTGCACTAAGAACATTTTTGTCTCCTTTCAGGACCAGCTCTGTTCATCTCCAGGTGCTCTATCCTTTTCTAACCTGTTCAATGGAGTGCCAGTTACATTTTACATCATCACCACATGAAAAACAAATACAACAAAATCTGTGCATATTTTAAACAAAGAAAGGGGAATAGAGTTGCTGTAACATGTAAGACTCACATGGAGCGTGGTCCAACTTTTCAAGTGGCGAAAGGAGAAAGCTGGGTGCTGGGGAGATGAACACAAACACAGGTTTCTACAGGAGAGCACAAAGCAGATTGTCCAGACTGCCATGAATGACTAATCAAACAGCTCTGGTAGTCTGCCTCAGATGGTCTCTTTCAGTTGGCAATGACCAAATGGCTGATTCAACATGCAGAATCAGCTTGACTAGTAAGCGATCTGAGCATAGACAGCAAGTGCTCTTTAAGACCAAACAGAGTTGTTAGCAAAACCAAATTTTCTGGAAGGGGGAAAAATGCGGAAGACGCTAACCAAAACTCTGAATATTCCCTTAGGATCCCTTAAATAAACCAGAACGTCAAATTCCCAAGTCCACTATCATAAGCGAGTGTCTCATACGCCTTCTTTACCTGCTGAGCCTAACACTTCATGTTGATAAAATGTCTATCAAGTGATATGTTCAAACCTGAGATACCATTATGTTAAGGTGTTTCTTACAAACACCATTAGAACTGAGATATTCCTGTTCCTTTATCCGAATTTCCTTGTTTGTTAGCATGACATGATATCACTTGAACCACTAGCATCTAATAACATTTAAAAACAGATTGCTGTAGATAAGCACAACAACTGGCTATGCCAACAATGATAAGAAGTATAGATGGAGTAAGACAGTAAACTTAACTGACTTCTAAGCATCTTAAGTGTCATCTGTCTCTGAGCACACAATGCCCCATTCTTTTGTTTTTCTTTTGGCTCATCAAACCAGTATTGTATCTGTGATAGGAGAGGGCTGTGGTTTAACATTTTAAGGAAAGATTAAGACAAACCTGCAAAACATAAAGTCACTTAAGCTGAAAGTGCATACGTGTGTGTGACTCATTTAAATGTTCACTTACATGCTAGGCTTGTATATAAATTAAAGAGACTTGTACAAGACTCGTGGGGCTTCACGTGGTGACTGACAAGCTGCTGGAGCTTTAAACAGAATGACTGACTTCTCTAAGATGTGATGCAAAAGTGAATACAAGTTGAACGCAACAATAAAAGAGAGAGGAAGATCTTGGGTGGAAATGTGTAGAGGCAACTGTAAACAAGTGGGGTTCCCAACACCCATGAATCCGAAGCACACCTTCATTATAAAGGGATCCATAAATAAGACAGAATAATAAATAAAATACAACAGATATGCAACAAAAAAGGCAACACTGCTGGTTATCAGTCTCCTTGCTCCTTTCCCTTCTCTATTCCATTTTTCCTATTTTTGTAGCTGGTGCTTGTGATTGGACAGGAGACAGTACTCTCTCCTTTTGTCTCCCACTTGACCAGCATACCTTTGACTCCCCCTACTTCCTTCTTTTCCTCCCCTTTCGCCCTCTAACTCTAGAACTCAGCAAACTCCTTGGCACATTTCTCAGTGAAGGAGACGCGGATCTCCTCCTCCTCATAGTCGTCGAAGTTGCTGGTGTCGCCTGGTCCTTTGAACTTGGGCAAAAAGGGAGCTTCCACCTAAACGCAATTAAAAACACCAGTTGAGAAGCGAGCACAACAGAAGGGTAATAACCAGTGCTGTGTATGAAGGCGCTAAATTGCTAATATTCTGTGCAGCTGTGGTAATTCAAACATGTGGAATATTTGTTCTTTCCAAATAACAGCTACGCCAATATGTCAGTGACAAAGAGATTACATTTCCTATTACTTCTTCACAATAATAGTCATTTAGGGTTTTGATTATGTATTACTTTTAATGTGAGGAAGCAGAAACAGGAAATGTTTTGTTAGCATCAGCAACTAACACATGAAGTGACTGCAGTAAACCGAAATGACAGGAGTTTTTACCAGAGGCCAGACACTTTTCACTCTGTCTACGCTTGTTAAATCTCAGAGATGATAAACATTATTGGAACTGGAACCGTGTGTTTGTGTCTGTGTGAGCTGCCTTTGTCAGCCGTGAGTAGCGGCAAGTTTAAAGCTGTCTGCAGCGGACTCCGAGCTTTCGGTCAGGTGTTTTACTAAGTTAACCCAGTGCGACTTATTTTTCTGACCCAGTGAATTTTATAATAACTGGAATTGAGCCTCAGCGAGACAGCATGCGTGAGTTCTTTTATGTCAAATGCAATATGATCCGCCTTGGATTTAATAAGTTGTATTTTTGCCCAGAAGGAGAGCAGTAAAAATTCTCTGGTTTAAGGTAAGACAGGCCTGACTGTATGTTCATGTTTATGGCTGGTTTGCTGTTGTAAACATGTGGCAGGCTGCATGTTATAAATAAGTGTTAAGAGCTGTCAATGATGATTGAGTGTAATAGCCCACTACTGCTCAGAGCACCTTGTTTAAAAAATAAAAACAGAAGAAATGAAAGTGAACGATTTCATTTTCGAGGCTGTGAACTTAGTTAAAACTGCAAATCTGTGAATTATGAATGTGAACTAGTTCATTTTAAGTGTGAACTTGCATTGAATGTGAACTAGTTCATTTTAATGTGCTAGCTCCTGTAAAGTGTGAACTTGCACAACACTGGTAATAACATATCCAAATAGTATGTGCACAGTGTACACATATACCTTCTTCTGGTAGATGGCAATCCAGTCAGTGGTTGCAAACCACTTGTGTCCCTTGATGTCATTGACCCCGTTCTTGAGGTTTCCATAACGTTTTGTGAGATCCACCTGGTGATAACACCAATGCATTTTACTCACTTTTATATCACAATAAATTAAGAACATAAAGCAAAACAAATAAAACCTTATCGTCAAAAAATGAGATACAGTATGTGTTTTCACCTGTAGCAGGTTCCTTAGGAGGTCCTTCAGGTCTGAACTGAAGTGAGATGGGAAACGCACCTGAGGCAGAAGACAAGAAGAATGTACAGTGAAATTCTTGAAAACACAAAGCAGTTGAAAGATGTCGGGAGCTGGGTATTGCACTGTATGTTGAACAGAACAGAACAGTAGTAAGGGTCACACTCACCTTCCCTGATACAATCTTTTCATAGATCTGAATGGGCTGGTCAGCAAAGAAAGGAGGGTACCCTGCTGCCATCTCATAGACGAGTACACCTAGTGCCCACCAGTCTACTGCTTTGTTATACCCCTGGTGGATGGAGGAGGAAAGGGGTGGAGACAAGAGAAGACAGAGTTAGAGACAGGTAATCCTGATTAAAAAAAAAACAAAAACATCTGATGTACACAATAATACTTCAATAATTACACTTTGTTTGTGGTTCCTTGTTGTTTTTGGTTAATTAAGCTTCATTTAGTGCAGTTTATTTTTCCAAAAGAGATGTGTGGGTTGTGTTTTTTATTTGGATATGATACATCACATTTAATAACACATAAGTCAGAACAGTTTTGCAATATCCAGCTGAAGATAAAACTATGCAACTGTTTAAGGAGCATAGTTGCTCCGTAAACAGTGAGTGGTTTAAAAGATCCATGAGACCCACATCAAGATCCTTAAAACCATGTCCTCTAGCTGGTATGAATATCACTGACCTTGCTGAGAATAATCTCTGGGGCCAGATATTCTGGGGTGCCACACAGTGTCCAGGTCCGGCCCTTTACACGTTTGGCAAAGCCAAAATCTGTCACCTGAGAGGAGAGAACAGAGACCAGCAGCAATGAAAGAGTAACAAACTCTGAGTGCTGGGCTGAGTTTAAACATGGAGGAAGAACAGACAAGTGGAACGACAGACATGGACAGAAGGAGGACGGGATTTTCACCAGATGTTATTTCACTCTTCACCACTAGAGGACACCATACAACTATTTGCCAGCACACCTTTCAGCAAACATAACCTGATCAGACTGGAGGTCTGTGTGGTGTCACAGAGCAGAGGTGGGACAAGTACCTTTATAGCTGTATTTCTGGTACACCCATCTTTCTGGATATTCACTAAATTCTCAGTTTTTTTTTTTTTTTTAATAAACTAGATCTTAAACAAACTCGGTGCATACCCCCTTTTTGTTATATTATATGTAAATATGCTGCTGACTGTTTTTTACCATCATATCTGCTGCTGTTGGTCATTTGCAACACTGTCCATGTGCATCTCAATCACACAACCATCTGACAATCTTCTTGTTATTATTTGCACTACTGTCACTGATTGGACATGGTTTTGAGTCATAGCCTATTAGGTTGTACCATTTAGTTTTATCCTAATTACTTTAATTTAGTTTTCTTATTCTATTTTTATTGTACTTTTATTCTATTTTAGTTAAATGGTATGGGTATTCAATATTAGGTGTGAGAGAAACAGTGTTTCAGTTTTTCTGTATGTCCTGCACACATATAGTGAATTCAGAGTAAAAGTCTCTGATCCTTATTTTCAGTAGTTTTGTCATTTGAATCGGTTATGTTGACATATAATGTACTGACCAGCTTCAATTTTGAGATGCAATTGGGTTAACAAACTGCTTACAACAGAGTCCAAATAACAATATAACTAAAGCAAACAGGTATTATTTACTTTTTTTAGCGGTTATGTTTTTATTTTATATGTTATGTTTTTTTTTTTAATTGCTGTACCGACTGGAGGTCACTTTAAAAACTTTGTTGTACATGTTACAATGACAATAAATGATTATCTTATCTTATCTAACTCAGTTTACCATGTATTCAGAAGTGAAAATATAAGTGAGCCTACTGTCCATTATATTCATTTCACTAACAAAATTGTGTGAAACTAGCTGCCATCACTGCTCTGGAAAACCTGACTGGTCGATGTCCCATGAACTTTACTCTGAAGCTGTGTGTCACTGCCATCTCATTACTCCAATATGACCATGGCAGAAAAAAAAGTAAAACTAAACAATTCAAATAAAAAAAGTTGACAAAAAAGTCCAAAAAAAACCAAAACAAAACAACAAAAAAACAAAATCAACAACTAAAATCCAGGTTGTTAAATGTAGCTTTAAGGCTAGGTGCCTTTTTAACAAATTCTCTTAGGTTATTACTCATAACTTCTAAGCATCCAATGTCTTTCTGTTTGTAACTGATAAAGTTCTCCATATACCTGCAGCAGTGTATCATAACAATATCTCATACCTATCCCACAAGTACTACATTTACATTTGGCAAGAAGGACAAGCTGTCTCGGGTGCAGTGATGTCACTCAGACTGAGCTAACAAATACTAAAGTTAGCTCGCCTCACATTAAAGGTTTTATATGTATTTCATGCTATGCTAGCTCTAAAGACAATGCACACTGAGTACTACTGTATTTTTGTAAATTTTGGTGAATGTGATGCTGCGCTAAGATAAACTTTGCTCTGCTCTGTCGACAACAAAGATTAGCTAGCTAGCTTTGGTAGCTAGTGTTATCTACAGTACATCAGACTGTGACTGCCCATTAGTAAGTCAATTAATGATTAATGATAATAATTAGATCCACAGAAAATTAGTCAGTGATCAGATTGATAATCTTTTATGTTTTCTTTCAAATAAAAATGCCAGAGCTTTGATGGTTCCAGATTCTTACATGTGAGGATTTGCTCCTTGTCCTTGTCTGACATAACCACAAACTGAATATTTTTGACTATTGAAGAACGACACAGAGCCGCACCTGCTTACATTTTCTATATAGCAATAAACACAAACAAAGTGCAGCTGATGCTAATGGGAATTTCATCAGCTTTGCAGATTTTTTGGGACAATTGACAAGATGTTTTATGATACACTTTGGGCTCTAGGAAATGACAGTAGGCATTTTTCACAGTTTTCTGATGGGTTTTACATCACGTAATTGATCAATGAAGTGAAAACCTATCAGGAAGATTATCTGATAATGCTAATCATCTTTAGTTGCAGATGAATTAATATGAAAAATATCTGCATTTTGTTCAGGTTTTTCACAGTTTAAACCTCTTCCCACCTTCCAAATGCCATACCATTAATTATTTGGCTTTGGACAAACTAAACCATGGGCACAGCATACAGCAGGGGAGTTGGGACGAAATGGCTGTAGGCTAGCTGTTACTGGCTAGGGTCACTTGTGAACTCCCACTAATGTATAATGATTAATTCAGGTCTTGTGTGTGACTTCATGAAATATTCTAAAAATACACACTTTAATTCCTACACTGTAATTAGTCCACAACTTTCTGAGTTATTTAATTTACTGGCTTATATAAATATATACTGTATATATCCCTGCATCGGGGGGGTTACCTGTATGTAGCCCTGTTGGTCTATGAGCAGGTTTTCAGGTTTCAGGTCTCTGTAGATCAGGTCCAAAGCGTGCAGATACTCGAAGGTCAGAACGATCTGAGCAGCGTAGAACCGAGCGTGAGGCTCACTGTACACACACAATCACAGGCAGACAGACAAAAAGAGAGTGGTTTAGTGGGGAGTACAGTACATAACCAAGCAGAGATGAACAAAGCTGAATAAAACAAAGTACAGCTAACACAGACCAGAAGAAACCAGAAAACATAAGAGTACAATAGAAGTGAATCCGAACTGAGAGTACAGTGCTCCACAATTTACCTCAGTATGTCCTATAAAGTGCTTCTGTGCTGTTAAGTCTATGCTGCATACAGGCACTAACCTAAATCTGCCAATTCTTCGTAGATGGGAGAACATCTCTCCACCTGGTACGTACTCCATCACCATGTAGAGGTTAGTGTTGTCCTGGGGAAGACAGAGGACACGTTAGTGACACAAACTCACATACACACACATGCATTAACACACTAAAGGCACACACACATACACATGGGATTGGAAACCGGATGAAACAATCTGCTGACTTTTAATAAATGGCATTATTAAGACTGTATATTAAAGCCCTAATGAAAAAGTGCATGCAATTCTGTCTACTGTACACTGACTAAGGCGTGTTATAGTTCTAAAAACTGGTTTGGAAATCGTGTTCTTTAGACCCTTTATAGCGCTAAACAACATAAGCCTTATAATATCATGGAGGATTTCATTCTCAACCTGCTTCATGAATATCACCTGCAAGTACAACTTAACAGTACAGCCAAGAAACTGAAACCAAGCTGTGTTACTATATGCTTGTTGTGGACACACAAGGACAGAAACATTCTGTTAATAGGTTTATTTGTGGCACCGAGGATATACTATCCCAGAGCATTCAAGGTGGATCTAAACAGCTTAACCTGAATAAGGCCTTAATTGGACTGTGGCCATCAGGATAATCACCTTCATTTGGCCGAGTATGTTACACACAAGGAATTTGTTTCTGGTACAGAATCGAGGCAGCCATCTGCGTCGCCAACTCAACCGATGGCTCTAACCATCAGGGGCAACTTGGGGGTTCAGTGTCTTGCCCAAGGACACTTCAACATGTGGACTGCAGGCACCGAGATTCGAACTTCTGCCCCTCCGGTTAGGAAACGACTGCTCTACCCACTGAACCGCAGTCACCCCCGCTTGGTCAGTCTGCACGCGCACAAACAGGTGCAGACAAAAAAGGAATGTGAGAACAAAATGTTAAAAAACATAAATGTTTACATGCTGCTGTTAACGGCGCATGTGGCAAACCAAGCTCGCTTCACTCTGTATTTGCTAATGACATACCCTTAATAGGATTAATAGTCAGTGATGAGGAAACAGACATACCTAAAATTAAATGTTGACAACACTAAAACAACAGATGTCAGCTTTTATAAAAACAAACGAGGGGCCTGTTAAGTGGTTCAGTGGTTCTGAGAGGTGTAGTGATGCGAATACAAGTATACAGTGTATACCCACCTCTGGGCAGGGGGCCTTACAATATACCTACTCCAACATAGCTACAGATCATTCATCATCATCTGAGTAACAGCACGCATCTTGCAGACTGTTATAGTTTTTCACATACAGTACCTGTTTACTAGAAAACTTGATTTTGTTCCCTGAGTTTAGTCTTTAGGACAGTGACTCCCCACAGGCAGTGTAAGTACCCTGTTAAATCTGCACCACACCCATGGAGCAGCGCTACCTGAAGGACAAACTCAAGATACCAGCGCTACTAGCCACAGAGAGCACTGTAAAAACTTGGGCCTCTTTACTGATAATCTGACCAGAGGTGACCACATACCATATTTCACAATGAAAGCTTCACTAATTATAGATTTATATTAACAGTGGAGACAATTATGTGCCTGATAAGTGAAAATACACTGTGAAAGGTTGTAGTGACAGACCCACATATAGTTACCACCCACTCTACAGTTCCCCTCAGCTCTACAGAGTGCTTTAACGTCTTTCAGGTCACTGTTTTGGTTAAATACAGTTACCAGACAAACTTGCAGAGTCTTCAGCATTACATTCCAACTTGCTGGCTCATTCATGTAACTTGTTATTTCATGCATAACTGAACTAGTAGATTAGTCAAGTTGGTTCCCTCCGCAGACACTATCTGAAGTGTGACGTGAGAATTTAATGACCTCTGTTATGACAGCGACTTCACAAATGTAATAATCGGCTCAGAAACTAGTATGAGGGATGGACATCGATGGGTGGGTGAAGGGAAATCCAGCCAGTCACTCATCATTGACAAACACAGTCTAAAACTCTGAGTACCTTGAATGAGTACTCTAGCCGCACGAGAAAAGGAAAGCTGACCGCCTGAAGAATCCTCTTCTCATTCAGAGTATGCTCGATCTGCTTGAGCTTCACCACCTTAAAGGCACAAGAAAAAGGGAGAAGGACAGACAGCAAGTAACCAAAGTGTACCATAAAAAAACATTCAAAAAAGAAAATTTAAATAATGTCAGAAGAAAAATAAACATTTGTTTTCTAAAGGCAGCACATTCTCTGCTGCTTTTAACATGTACATTAACAGCTACCAGCCCTGACATTTCTAGATAAAGACATATAACAATGCTTTCTATTTCCATCAAAATGTAAATATTGGCAAAAACACATACTGGCACCCTGTGCCAAGGCAACGGGCTATGTGGTTTAGACTTGAATGCACCACAGAAATATGCCCTGAGTAATAAAAATCAAGTAAGAAACATGGTACTGTAAAAACAAACATCCCTCTTCAAATGTGTATTATGTCACAGAGGAAAGTGAAGTTTGTCATTGTCTCAACACTTGTTTGGAAATGGATTGGGGGACCAGATCAAACATCTGCTGCCTTTTCACAGAATTGGTCAAAGACCTATTTTTGCTAGTCTTTTATTAGACATATACATGCAACATGTTTAATTTTGGTGGCACAGCGGCACAGTGGTTAGCACTGTCATGTCACAGCAAGAAGGTTCCGGGGTTGAACATGGCAAGGCCTTTCTGTGGCGAGACTGCATGCTCTCCCTGTGCGGGTGCTCTGGCTTCCACCAACAGTCCACCGACATGCCGGTTAGGTCAACTGGTGACTCTGAATTGCACGTAGGTGTGGACATGAGTGTGAGTGGTTGTCTTGTCTGTGTGTGTGAGCCCTGCGATGCATCCAAGGTATACTCCACCTCTTGCCCAATGACAGCTATGATTGGCTCCAGACGCCCCCCTCCCCACTGCTCAACCCTCCACAGGATAAGAGGTATATACTGTAGAGTATAGTGAATGGATGGATGTTCAATTTGAAATATATCTTTGAGTACACTGAAAAGCGCTATATAACACCAATCTGTTATTACCAGTAATTCAATATGTGTGTAATAAATCATACAATTTCAGACAAAATATAGGTATAATAATGTACATATGTTTAATTGTTGAATTTAAAAAAGTTTGCTGAAATAAAGTACTTTTTAGTTTTATCACAATAACAGCTTAAAGAAGCTCTGAAACCTTGCAATCTGCTTCTGTATTGTAATGTACTTAGTGTATAGCATTGCATTTATGGCATGAACATCTATATGCATATTCTACATAAAAAAAAAATACTTTTTTTTATGAATGTTAGCTCTGGCTATTTTCATCTAGCCTGTTTTAATTAACACTCTACAGCTTTAAAGGTAATTTGATATGTCAGCTATAAAATACTTGACTCATCAAAAACACCATATTAGACAGCTGTTGACAATATTTCCCTGAATGTTTAAAAGCACAATTCTTGTGAAACTGGGGGGAAAAAATGACAACACAGGCAGAAACTGAAAAAATACATGAACGTGGGTGTTAACTACTTTTCCTCTTTAGGTAATCAGACAGAAAAGCAGAATAAATATGGCTCAGACGCTAGTGACACTAACTGGAAATGTTGCTAGAGCATGGATATATTGTGAGCAGGAGATACAACAAACAGTCTGAGAAGGTGTCATCAAAAATGACCAGTCACATCAGCTCCTCTCATCCAGTAGACAGCAAGACCCTGTCTTCTGAGAGAAAGTAGCCCTCTCCAGAAGGTGCAAAGTTGTGATACAAATGTAAACGTACATAAAGTGTTTCTACACAGCATTCAAAATATACTTCTGAAGCTGATAAAGTCAGTGGCGCTTACTGTACACAGCCAATCAACAACATTCAGACTCACACTGACACCTACAGCCAATTCAGTGTCTGGCTCGTCTAGCCGGCATGTCTTTGGACTGTGTTGCACATCAGTGAACAGGGTGGCTTTATGGCGGTATGGGATTTACAGGGCTTTTGCACAAATGTGATGAAGAACCTTGATGAAGACTCTCAGGGCACTTTACATAAAAAGGTCTTGACCTTGCAGTATTATAGACAAAAACCCAACAGATTCCCCTTGAGCAAACATTTGACAAACAAACAGGTACATTACATTCACTGGATTAGCCAGTTAGCCAACAACAAACATTTTTTTTTATCTGTAAAGATATTTAAGTATAAAAATGATGCTATAATAGAGGACTGGGGCAGGCACTGTATTCTAAGCTAGATACCAAAGTTACTCTCCTTGTGATGTGATGTGCATAATGACAGCCTCAGCTCTGCAATTTTGGCTGACGCCTGCTTCAGCAGAAGCTGGTTCAAAGAGGTTCAAAGGGGGAGAAAAAAGATGTGCACCTGTATTTTTGTCTCTGCGTCTTTGCACCAGCATGCACAATGAGCTCCAGGCTGTTTTTCCAATTTCCATAATGGTCTCAGGCTTTGTGAGCACAATTTTCACATCAATGACATATCCATGTTTTTTATGACCATCCTTCAGGAACACTACCTGTGAGTGTCCTTAGAGGACAGATACATTTAAACACCTTCCCTTCCACTATGACTCTCCTGAACCATGACCCACACTCACCTTCTGCTTGTTGAGGATCTTCATGGCATAATGCTGCCCTGTTTCTCTGTGCCTCACCAGCATAACACGACCAAACGAGCCTGTGCCCAGGGTTTTCAACCTCTCAAACTGCTCCAGGCAAGCAGTGTTCTGAACAGATGAAACCAAAAGGGTTAAGTGATTTCTGTGAACATGAGTCGGTGGGGGTTTTGGTACAGGAAGTAAATCCTTATTTTTAAATGTTTCATGTTTTTGTACATGGTGTAAATATGCAAGCTTTGCATATACACCATATGTATAAGAGACATAAAGTTTATGATATGCAATACATATGTAGTGAATAATTTTACACAAATTTTGGGTCCGTTCATTGTTTAGATGGAAACTGTGTTTGTATCATCCTTGTATTGCACTTTACTTCCTTCACCTCTGCAACATGTTGAGGGGCTGCATCTTACTACAAGAACAGCCTTATAAAGAATAAAGTGGAAAGACTTCTACATCAGAGCCGTTTATTTATCTGAAAACAATGCAAACATCTGCCAATCAGAATCAAGTAGTGCTTAATAGTTTTACACTTAATGTAGAAATCACAGATAGATAGATAGACTGTATAATGTAATGTAAAGAATATTCATTCATATCCTCTTATCTTAAAAAAAGCACAAAAAATCTATGTAATGTTCAATGCAATGTTATTCATTCATATCCTCTTATCTTAAAAAAGTTGTGATTTACTAAATACAGTACATCAAAATTCTTCACAAGAGACAAAATGTGCAGAAACTCATTTTGTTAGTTTTTAATTCTAACTGAAACTTGGACAGTTTTCAGTGAGTGACATTTTTAAATTCCATGATGAACTAAAAAAAGGCATTTCAGACATTAACATAATATCTCAGTACAGCAGAACAGCAGTGAAAACCTCTAACATGTTGTATTAATGCATGCAAAAAAGCTGATTACAATAGGAAAAAAATAGGGCATATGTCAGGTTCAGGTCAGGTTTTGTGAACATACACTGATGCAGTCACTAACCTGTGCAGGATTCTCCCACTTCTTGAGGAAGTCCTCTTTGGCTTTAGCAAGGAACTCTTTCACTGAAAGATAAATGCACCAGTGTTTACAGAAGAAATGCTTCAGTGGTGTGTGAGAATAGCGAGCAGAAGAAACCAGAAAATAAACAGCAGAAACACCGTGGTTCTTAAGCAATACCACCCAGTTAATGCTGTCTACACCTTGCCTACATTTTATTTCACTTTATGATCATTTCTAGACTTTGATAAATACACAGACAGATAAAAATGCAAACAACACAGAGTAAGGCAAGGACAAACTCTGAAATGGTACCCAGCTGGTTTCAGACACAGGCGGTTACATAGTAATACCACAGGGACTGACCCAGCTGTGTCCAGTACACTGTAAAAGTAACTACTCATAACTACAGTAGAGGCCTTAAGTTTATATTCAATTACAATTAAGACATTACAAACCTTTTTTTCAAATCACCACATTAGAACCTTCATGTTATGCATATCTCTTGGAAAGTCATTTAGGATTTCTACTTTGACCAGAACAAAAGTAACTTCACCACAAATGATCCAAGACAGCTTTATTTCACTTTTAACTCACAATATCAGAATTCCAGTGGGTCAGAATTTTACATACACCATGTTCATGCTCTCTTTAAACAGCCTAGATGCTTCAGCAAACTTGACTTTAGTAACCCTGATTATGCCATCATAGTTATGACCTGCATTTCAGACTGAAGGTGTGCTGTTTGAAAGATGACTGATCCTGCTGAGCTGCATAATGGGAAATGTAGGATCTGGTGTTTTTGGAGCCTGACTCATACCGAGGGCTAAAAGTCAGAATATCTCAGCCACTGGTGCTTTGATTTTGACCTTTTTTTTTTTTTTTTTTAAACCTACCTCTTGTGAGTGGCCCAATTTTATGGATATAAAATACTAAATTGCTGGAGTACCCCTTTAATGCTGAAGGAAAGCAAAATATAATCAAACAATTTAAAAATAGTGAACTTAGATATAAAAATAAAGAGATATAAAGCACTTAGGCTTAGGTTGAAATTCCAAATTTACTCTAACAGGTTAAAAGTTCAAACGCCCGGAAAAACATGGTTGAGAAAAGTGAAGTAACACTATGATACCCGGCTGTACACTCAGAGCTTCTTAATATCTCAAACACACTTTAATCAACCCTGTCTGGTTTTGAAGTTGTTGAAAATCTGGCAATGTACTGTTGCAGCACACACATAGTCACAGTATGCCAGCCAATATCAAGGCTGACTTGGTAAAAACAAAGCTGTAGTAAATAACTACTCCAGTGAATACACTAGTCCAGCGGTGGCATACTCTCACACTTGGCCATATCACTAACCTCCCACTGGACTTACAGTGCAGCAGACACACTCAGACCAGCTCAGCCAAACCTACAGACCTTTGTGGGTCCACTAAACAAAACAGTGCCCACAATGATTATGTTTGGCTCACCCACACATTTGCTGTAGCATCTCTTTCCAGAAAAGTGAAGCAACGGGCCTAGAGTGTTTGGGAAATATCTGACACACACTGTTGTGATCTTGCCAATAATTCAGTACAATGAAGATGCCAAGATGGTTGCAGCTTACAATAGCTGTTGGCTGTTTTGCAGCTTTTATAATGAGTTGTCTATGCAAACAGCAATTCATCCTTCTTCAACCTACTTTAGCATCCACTGACATCAAATCAGCAAAGTCCAGAACTGAACAATACTACTGAACCTCACTGTTTCATCTACATGTACGTTATGCTCATGAATTAAATGTATGCAATTTGGATCTTGCATGGTACAAGCTAATTCGTTTGCAGCGAGGACATGCCTTGAACGTAACTGGAAAGTAGGATTAGGCCTCTAACTTACAGTGTATGTTATGTAAGCTAACATAACCTGCTGTATCACATCATTTCATTTACTGTGTAAGAGAGCAGGTGCTACTCGGGAGTCATGTGTTCTGGCGATGGTACCCACCGCTTTCCATCTCGCTGCCCTTCCTGGCCGTGGGCGCGTTGCCCATGATGACAACCTGTCAACGGGCAATCCGTGGCTTTTGGCCGCCCTGCAGCCTTCTAAAGCCGGTCTAACCTCGACTAGGTCTTAACGGTATTTCTTAAATCCAAATGTACCAAACGTGAACTCCGAGGTCCTGATCTTTAATACCCCGACAGCTGCTGACGCGGTGCCACGGCGAGACGGGATAGTGCGGCGGGCTCACTCCACGGTCATCATCATCCGCCGACCGATATCGAGCTTAGATCCACAGGGAGCTGTCGTTGTGGTATCTCGGTCGCTGGGGCTTCGCTGGACTATCAGTCCGAGCTCAGCTGGCCCGAAAACGCAGAACCTTGTCTTCTCCCTTCCCTACTTGCAGCCCCCGCGAGCAAGCCCCCCCTCCCCGGCTCCCCACCTCTCCCCCAGCCCAAAAAACAGCGATACCGAGGGCGGGGGTGCAATATTCTCTATCAGGAGCCTGCCACGTTTCGTTAGCGAACCCAGCTTTTAAAAATACAACATCGGCAGGGTCCGACAACGATAACAATTTGTCCAAATCAACATTGGCCCCCTGTAGCCTCGGAGACGAGCGAGATGACGGAACTACAGTCAACAGAACGTCCCGCCTACTTGTCAGAACCGCGCTTGATTGACAACTTGAGCTAGGCTACCAATTGGCCACCTCTCAACATCGCTGTCCCACTGAAAGCTCTGATTGGCCCGTTGCAATCGCTCTACAGCGGCAGCATCCCGCCGCCCTACAATAGACAAGCAAGGGGAACGTCAACCGATTATTTTCCTCCCAACGACGTACGCGGCGCGCCCACTTTCTCCGGTTTCTCTCCTCCATTGGCTTGGAGTGGCCGAACGGTGGAAATCTCGGTGAATGCGAGGATGTCTATTGGCTATCACTACACCCCCCAACCCCCCACCGCCGCCAAGCGACTGATACACGTTTGGCTAAGTGACGTCAACGGCGAGCTATTTTTAGAAATGTTGGTCAGAATTTAGCGCACGCGCGGCGCGGTCTGGCTGGCAGGACTTATAAACAGATCGCAGACAGCCGTGCATGGAGGGAAGCGTGTATTTGTTGGGAAATGAATCACTCAGAGGAGATGAAAACAATCTTTCACCAATCGATGATGGATGAAAACAGGCAGAGCCACATTCTGTCTGTCTGGGCACCAACAACCGTGGATAGTCAGTCAGAATCCTCCCCACACCTGGATTACCAACAGGGCGGGTGTAGCACATGTACAGGACCCCTATTGTCAGGTTCCTCGAACGGTGCAATTTCACATAGATTTGCATCTGAATATCTAATTTCAATAATAATTTCACCATGTGTTGGTAAAAAACACACATTTAAAAAGGACCGCGGGTCTATGAACACCCATGCAATAAATAAAAGATCCCTAAGGCTCCTGCAGGTTCTAACAGCCTCACATTAGGGCTCTACAGCAGACTGTCATGTAAAAAGGTCCCAAACTACTAATGTGTGAGGTATGCTAAGATTTTAAGCCCTACATTTAAATGGCATCCAGTTTGTACATGCTGCTATTAGCTTGTTTTTATTGCTAAATATTTTCATGGTTAATCAGTTTGAAAAACAAGAAAAAATAGTAAACAAGATGTCTACAAGCAGAGCGATTTGTTTAAATTGTGTATTTTGTTCTCTGACAGTCCACAAAACAAAACACCTTACATTTGAGGTGCGGGAACAAGTAAATGCTTCGCAACCGCTTGATTAATTTAATCATAATAGAGCAGCTATAAGAGGGAAGGTGATGCTGAATATAGATTTTGTTGCCAAAGATAAATATGCACCTTTTGCAAGCAGCAGACACCTGTGCTTTTACCTCGTTACTGTATCACCATCCACTGAGCCTTGCTAAACAGTGTAGTATGTGAGAAGCAGAGAGGTAACAGATGGATGGTTGGAGGAGTTAGTCCCTTCAACTCAGCAGAGATAAAATGGGTGAGAGCAGACAGCCCCCCTGCAATTTTGTGCTACAGTTGCCTGGCAACATGAGGTTAGAGTGAAGATGCTGGAGAGATGCTGCTGCGTTTTGTGAATGAAATTAGAAAAAAAGAAAGGAGCCAGAGGGAGGGGAAAGAGAGGGCCAGGGTGCGTGCGTGCACACATGTATGCCAAGTCTTGCTGCTATTGCCATGATTTGTTCCTCACTAGTCAAGGTGGAAGGCAGCTGTGTAGGATATGGTAATTACCAGAATGCAGCACAAGGTCCACAAATCAAACTTTATTAACATCATCACTACTGTTACAAATACTGAGGCAGAGAATATACAGTAAGTACAAAGAGAAAATGTCTTTTCATCTTGAAGACAAAATAAGGGCTGGGAAAAGACTATTTACAATGAGCCCAAATTATCAAAACTTGACTGCAAATGTTTGGTGCATAATTATAAGACATTTTATATAACATTTTAGAGAACTATATCTGTTTGGGCCTGCTTGAAAAAGAGCAGGTTTACAGAGTTATCTAGATAAGTCAAGGGCAAATCTTGCAAGTACAAGGCTCTATTTGGTACAAGCTAACAGGAAGCAAAGCTGCTTCTTGTAGCAGGCTCCAGAGAACGGCCCAGATTGTAAAGCTAACACTTGTTTCCTCAGGTACTCCAGATGCTATAAATTTACATCAGATGAAACCCTCAGAACTGTGAAATGCTACATTATGACCAGCGAGTGCTAAACCTATTCTGACATACAGAACACTGCCCATAGCATAGCTTGGATCTGTGCTCATGAAGACTTAATGACCAGTGCAGTATGGGCACCAAGCAGGTCAACACTGGTGGATGCGTATGACCCACACAGGGCTGTATGGTGGTCTAGTCTTAAGACTTCCTCATCCTGATGACTCAAAGCTTCTCTAGCTCAGCTTTAACACAATCTGAGACAGAGATACTGTAAAATAAGGCAGTGGTGGTAAACATCTGTGTGAGTTGAAGCAGTTGATCGGTATTACAGGCTCCTCCCATTTGTGTATGCTTTATAAAGAGTGTCCCTGCTGCAATGTCCATGCTTCCTGGTTATTCCCACACATTACGTTGATACATCCGTGGCCTCCTTGTCCAAATATCAAATGTGTGTTTGCAGTGTGGTTGAGAGTCCAGATAAGGAGGGCTTTTTGTCCATTATGCTATTCTGATGATTGTTACATGCAGTCCATGGAGTTGTCTGGCATCACTCCAAGAGGTGGCACCTTTCCTGGTATACAGGACGGAGGGTGCATGCCACTGATGTTGGGGGATGGGTCCACATTCTCATTGTCCTCCATCTTGTCTGCCAAACCCTCCCAAGTGATATGGAAGCGGGTGACACGAGGGTTGGAGGCTAAAATATTTCTCTGGAGCTGAGGGGATAAAATCAAAATCAGTGTAGAGTGAGGGCAGAGTGTGCTGAACACACATTTGTGGTCATTACAAGACACACAAATAGTTTTTACACATTTGTAAATCTGTATTTTATTTGCAGATCAACAAATGCACATTTGTGGCCTTCTTGAGATGCACAAACCGGTTTTTACACGTGTAATCTTGACTGTAATCGCCAAATATGCATTTGTTGTGAGTTATGAGAGGATTTTAGCCTCATATAATTGGTGCCACCAAATCTGGAACTGGTGCTATCTTCTTAATGGGTTTTACATTATAGGAACCTACCGAAACGTGTCAAGCCAAGTAATGCTTGTCAGGGGTTCTGCTTTTTTTCTGCTGTCCTAAGCCCGCTTTGGAGGTGCGGTCCAAGAGCTAAATATTGACATCCCTCAGGAGGGAGTACTAAAATCAAGTTCCAGCAAGTTCCAGGAATGTGAGGGGGGAGAGCAGTGGTCTGTGATTGGTTAAATGTCTGCCATGAATATTTATGTAGTAACTTATTTAGCTGTTTTCACTTTGGAGATAGTCCCTGTGCCCTGGTCTTGTTCATTGTCACAGGTATGTCTGAATGAAGCCCAGAAGACCATAATGCTCTTTGTGCCTTGCATCTGAATGACAGAAAGCTGTTGCTTTATCAGACTGATGGAGCAGCACTGTTATGTATCTAATTATCTGAAAAGGGCTGTACTATATAAACACGCTGCAGCACGATCTCAGCCAAGAACAGAAATGTTGGTGTGCAGCTGTGGCCCCCAGAATATTTGCCGAATGTTAATGCCGAAGCTCTGAAGGTCAAAAGCTGCTGATCGGACAGCCCTGATATTTAAGCCGTCTATGCTCTTTTCTGATGCTACTGTAATGTCTATTTGAAAGCACCAGAGGACAGCAGAAAACTTTACATTTCAATGGACCCTTTCCACAAACAAGGCCCAAGTACTGCATGTTTATGCTATCTGTAGCTTAGGCAAAGCAGTATTTTTCTTTTCAAGTGACATAAATACTAAGTAGAGAGATCTGTTTTATGATTCAGTTCAGTAAGTAGACTGAATAGTTTACCTACACTTGACTGTCATTTCAGAGTGTGTGTGTGTGTGTGTGCATGCATGCATGCGTGTTTGTGTTACCTGAGTGTAGTCTGGTTTGAGAGGTGGGTTTTCCCGCAGCTCAGGGGTGGTGTATTCATTATTGACATAGTAACCAATACGGATGAATTCCTGTCCACGGTAGGTGCAGGTAATAAGCACTACAGTCACTCCTACAGCGTCACTTTCTGGGATGAGCCCTGTGTTAGGAGCATCAGCCTGCAGGGACAGCCAGGAACACAAAGAGCAGAAATCAGATCAACACAAACAACAGCAATCATGATATTAATGCAGCACCAACAAAAATGTACAACTAAAGGCATCTGCCCACATGTCTTTCGACAAAGAAATCTAATTTGAAAGTCAATTAGTGGTAACACGACTGTAGCTTACCTACCTGAAACACAAACATGTGTCTGCCAGCCGGTACCGGGCCGACTAGAACAGAGTCCAGAATCTGGTCATATTCCTCGCTTTCAGCTGAACCCACATAGATGATCTTCCACTCCAGATCTGACAGCCCACATAGGACAAGAGTGAGACTTTGCAAAATATTTAAAGATGTAGTTCAGTTTTGTAACAGATATGAATTGCACATGGGTGGCATGGGCATTTGCTTCATTTCTATACAGCTCACATGGTGATACAAGCCTGCAGCATTTTGAACATGACTGAAAAATATAAAATGAACACTGAATGTTTTATCTATCTTTAAAAAAGAACATCTTCCTGTATATAGCTAGTTTTTATTTTATTTTATTTATTTTAACTTGCATAACATTTTTGATGATAAGCACCATTCAGTGACGTTTGCAGATTTAAAAGTTATCTATAAAAGAAAGAATTAGAGAGACAGAGAAGGACCTGGTACCAGATTATGAATTGATATTTGATGATATCCTAAATTCATAAGAAGAGAATATCTAGCCAGGTAACATGGTTCAGATTATTTTCACACATCCGCTGCTGAGACGTGCTAGCCCTGCTAGCCCCACAGTACAAATCTGATGAAGAATTTAATTTGGGCTGCTAGCACAACTGAAAAATACAACAAGGTATTCTTGTATACAATAACAGTATGGAATCATTAACAAACATTTTTGTTATTGATAATGATACCTTAAATGTTCCCACCTATTCTGGTGGATTACAAAGCTGACATACATCTATTTTATTTCAAACGCAGGTGCAAACAGTATGTTAGATTGTAAAAAAATACAAGAACTTTTACAATTTTTAATACATTGTTGGCAATCTGACTGTCATTACTAAGTAACAAGATTTAAAAAATTTCTCCGCTAATGTCAAACATCAAGTGTAAAAATAACAATGGACCGACTGCTATTGCCTCTTAAACCTCATGGATTGATACTGACAGTATGCACTGTACTATCGATGGAGCTCTAGTCAACTGTTTGCTCGGTTGTCTTAAACCAAAAACTCCAACAAATGTCTCAGAAAAGCAGGGTTGCGTTTTAATCTAAAAAAAGTTATATTATCAATTTGACTTCAAGGCAATTATTATTTCCAGTGTATAAATGCTGCTTCCCTGTTTCTCTCCACGATTCGCGGCAACTCGTTGGGCTTGCCTGTTGCTACAGTAACACAACGTATCATCAACCAATCCGATTCGGGGATAAAACTGCCAAGAACGTGTATGAACCAATCACTGCAGAGAGGAGGCGGGGATAGCGCACAAACGCGCCAGCGCCAATTTTCAACAGCTTTGAAAATTAAATGAAATATCAATAACTACCCCCATAATAGGATAACATGATCATGTCATACAAGAAAACAGCGTGCTTATCAGTTGCTTAGTCTATCCGCAATGTATAAGTTAGCACATAAATAGAATGCACCCAGAGTTAGCAAGTATTCAATAGCTAGCAATTAACAAACAGTAGGTTAACTGGTATTAACGTTATACGTTAGCTGAAAACAATGCCCACCTTCCAGCAAGTCCTCCATGCATTCAAAGGTTATTTCAAACTGAAAAGGATTTCCAAATGGGCTCGGGTTGTCTAGTACAGCCACATTCAACACTTGTACCTTTGCCATAGCGTTCTGATGCACGGCAAATTGGAAACTATATAATTAGCTTTTCTCTTACGTGAACAAAGCGTAACGAGTCACTCAATACTTAGCTATCACTTTCAATGTCCCCCGTCTTTTAGGAAGGAAACGATTTTTAATTCTCCAAGAACACCAAGAGGAACTGACGGTGGCTGTTCTACTGGCGGAAGTGCGTCACGTTTTTCTTCGATGTCTTTAATTCTGCGAAACATCCGCATCATCGTGGCATACTGCTGCCCCCTATTGTTCGTTTATTAAACTGTTCAAAGTCTGCAGTCAATTATAACTATCCTCGTTTTAATCACGTTACCCTGCAATAATGTTGACCTTGCCCAGAAATTATTAACAAGCGAATTTATAGTTTCTAAGAAACTTTCCTTGAAAAATTAAATGAAACCACAGTATTTAATCTACCATATGTCAGCCCTTTATGTATCACTTAGCTTTGAGTTGTGGCAAACTGAACCTCTGGATGGAGACAAATGCATTTTGTTTTTTGCTGGGATTGGAGTTTTTAGTTGTGGACTTGAAAGTGAAGACGAGGTGAACTATAACATTTTGCTTTGTATGGCCATGGTATGGAGGCCCAAAAGGGACACATAGAACGAAAGAAAAAAATTGGTGGTGGAAATAAATAAATACATCAATAAGTGCCATGTCTGTCTGTCTGTCTGTCTGTCTGTCTGTCTATCTATCTATCTATCTGTCTGTCTATCTATCTATCTATCTATCTATCTATCTAACTACATTTCCAGAGGGCATGGCTTGGATAAATAGGCATAAGCAGTCAAGGTAAAGTCAAAACCCAACTATTTTTCAATTGCTGTCTGCACAGCCATTGCAGGGACCAGTCTCATCTGAAGAGCCTGTGTTTATGTCAAAATTGTTTTTTGGTAGCTCTTCCTTTACAACCAGCTAGCCACAAATGTCCAAAACAATGAAGACATGTTTTAACACAGGTCCTTTGGGACCTACTGCAGAAATGAGGAAACCTACAGTCAGCTAACAAGCTTGCTAATGATTTGCTAACATCTGGATACTTATTCTACCTTTTGTGTCAGCTCTGTGATAGACTAGACTGATGATCTAACAGAGTGTACCATGCCTCTCACCAAATGTCAGCAGGGACCAACCCCTAGGCCCCTCACAACTCTCTGTGGATAAGTGGTATAGATAACCTAATGAATGCATGGAGTACAGTATGTCCAGAATCAGAATCAGAATCAGCTTTATTGGCCAGGTGTGTTGGACAAACAAGGAATTTGACTCTGGTACAGTGGCTCTCAATGTGTATGTACATATCAACAAGCAAAGGAATGTGCATTAGGAAAAGAGATAAAAAATAAGAGTAAAATACTTATCCATCCATCCATTATCTATACTGTTTATTCCGGAATAGGGTCCAGGGGGGTTGGAGCAAATCCCAGCTGACATTGGGAAAGAGGCCGGGTACACACTGGATAGGTCAACAGTCTATCACGGGGCTGACATGTAGACAAACAACCACACACACCCACATTCACTCCTAGGGGCAATTTAGAGTTACCAGTCAACCTAAACTGCATGTCTTTGGACTGTGGGAGGAAGCCAGAGTACCTGGAGAGAACCCATGCAGGCACAGGGAGAACATGCGAACTCCACACAGAAAGGCGCTGGGAACCTCATTGCTGTTAGGCAACAGTGTAAACCACTGTGTCACTGTAGCACTGGCATGGAGTGTATGTTACATAAAAGTATTATTTCATACTTCAGAGTGTAATTTACTGACCAACGTCACTGGTTAACCTAAATGTTTTTGGCAGTGGTGGAAAGTATTTAAGTACGTTTACTCAAGTACTGTACTTAAGTACAATGTTGATATAGGCCATCTAGACTTGAGTATTTTAATTTTCTGCTCATACTTTGACTTCACTACATTTCAAGGAAAACATTGTACTATTTTTTTATACCACATTACATTTATTAAACAATTTCAGTTACTAGCTACTTTTCAGAATCAGCTAATAAAACTAAATGGACTATAATCATAAGATTTTATTGATCCTCATTGGAAAACCCACAAGGAACTCACCTCACAAGCGTCATCTTTACCAGGTGCAACATTAAATGTGATGTATAGAAATAAGCATCAATAATTGGAATCCAGTAATATGATACACATTAATGTGAAATGTGTCCTTCTGCATAATGAGTACTTTGGCACTTTAAGTATATTTTGTCACAAATACTTTTGCATTTTAACTAGAATAACATTTTGAATGCAGGACTTTTGCATGTAAGTGTATTCTACAGTGTGGTATTGCTACTTTTGCTTATAGTAAGTAAACAATTTGACAAATTCTACTCTCCTCCTAAACATCCTTTAGAACCACAGAATACACCAGCATACATTTACATAACTTTAGCACACAATTAAAAGTAATGTGGCAACTTCTGAAGTTAATTCTTTTAGCTAACATGAAACCTTGCATTACTCCTTGCCCTTACTTTACTGCCTGTGCCTTCCACCATCTTTTGGGCATTTACAGAATGGGCAGGAAGCTCCAGTTGCATTACATATAAGCTAGACTTATTAAAAATTACAGAATATGCATAAAATATCAAAGGTTAAAGTACTTGTTCTGCAGTAAAGTGCACCTGTGCCGTTAATGACATTACTAAGTCAATACTGCCTCGTAATAGACAGGTATGTACTTAAAATGTAATTTATCAGTAAGTCCTCACCTCTTCTCTTCTTCCTTTTACTTGTGCATGGTTGTTCCTGTATAATTATCCTTTAAGTATTTTCTTAGCACACTTTAGGCAGTGTAATTTTCTAAACATAACAAAATAATGCAAAATAATGCAACTTTAGAAGAACATTTTATTTCCTTCAGTTCCACTACTGCCGACATCCAGTGAGAGTGTACTGCTGGACCATGTCCTGTATGCCCAAACAGGTAGGTTTGTATTTAACAATTTTACACTCTGTTACTGTGGGCCAGTACTCAATCCAGTTCCTCTCACCGAGCACATACTGATACCTGATTTAGCAACAGAAAGCAGGCAAACAGTTAAAATTCTGACAATATTATGATGGGATCAAACATGAGACACAAACACAACAAACTTACAATTGACTCTTTTCATCTGAGTAAATGTCTTTGGATGTGCCCATGATAAGGTAGGTTTTGCCTGTCACAAAGCTTACAGCCTCCCTGCAGTGCCGATAACTGAGAAATGTGCGCAGTTTACCCTGAGGACCCACATCAGTACTCCCTGTAAATAAAACATGGGAGAGAAGAGTTAAAAGGAAATTATGATTTATTTCAAAGTAGTTTTTTTTAGCTCTCATCTTCATTTTTTTCAATTATAATAACACTGTATTCACTAATTACTACGTTTTGAGTGACATCCAAGTTAGAAAACACTGGAGAACAGCAAAATTATGCCATTTATCAACATCTTTCCTGGTTCAGTATTAGGAGTGTAACAATTTTGAACCAAAACCAAAAACCCCAATAGAATACAAAAACCAACCAAACAGACAAATAAAAAAGTGATACCAGAAAAAAATTTTCATTTAGTCTTTTTTAAAAATTGTATGAATTCTTGTCTTTAGTGTTTAAAATTGATGGTGATTTAATAAAATCGAGAATATCAACTTATAAACACGTGAAAGTGTTTGGGATTCTATCCGTTAATAGGATTGTATTTCTTGGATTTGTTGGTATCCTTTGTTGTCACAGAAAGGGTTATGCACCTCACCAACAGCTTGGTGACATCTTTTATGCCTCCACAGAGGCGACAGCCATGGCCGGAGGCATTATTTTTTCAGCTTGTCCACATATATGTATGTTCTCGTGAACATGAAATATCATGAATGCCTTGTGGGAATTTCTTCAAATTCAGCAAAAGTGTCCACTTGGACTCAAAGATGAACTGATTAGATTTTGGTAGTCAGAGGTCAAAATTCAAGTGCACTGTGACCTCACATTCATACAATTCTTTTGAACAAGACATCCCAGGAAGGCCTTGAGAGAATTCTTTAAAATTTGGCACAAACAGCCACTTGGACTCAAGGATGAAAGGTGGTGAAAGGTCAAGGTCAATGACAGCGACCTCACATCTGTCCCATTTCTGTGAATCTGACTGGTTGGCGGAGGCATACCGCTATCAAGTGGTAATTCTAGCTTTATGATAAAACCTCTATTTTTAATTTACTGAACACATTTTTCCTGTCCATAATAAAGAACCCAAAACAGTATTTGTGTCTTATACTGGGTTAATTTCACCAGGATTCACATGCATCAAAAACAAGTTTAGAAACAGTTAAACGTTATTTCGTATTCTAGGAAATTACCATTCAAATCATCCCTAATGGCTAAGAATCTTTCATTGATAGGATGCAAAATGGCCAAAAAAATTCAGGAAGGGAAATTTGGTATCTCACCTTTGAGGTTCATTAGAGAAAATGTTTGGCAGAAGCAAAAGTTGCAGTTAGAACAGTTTAATGATAATGAACCCACCTTCTTTGATGACTTCTAGTACCCGGACTGTATAAATGTCAGTGGACAACCCATCTGTAAACTTTTCCAGTCTCACTTTGTACACTAAAGACATACAATTTGCAGACTGTTAGCTCACTTTGCTCCCTTGCTAACTCAAGCTCTTACTGTTACACAAAAATATTCACAAGTTCTTACCAAAATCTATTTTGCTGTGCCTTTCAGACTCGCAAACCTTAGCTGTGCGCTCATCATTGCTGACGTTGCCCTTCTTCTGAATACTGCAGTTCTCTGGAAATATGCACAGTAGTGATTATGCAATTAATTGAGAATATGTGTATACGTGTATGGATGGGTTGGTTGCATCTGTACCTGTTACATTTTAATATCTTAGAGTTATTCTTTAGTTCTGGCTGTTGCTCTCACGCTACAATATCCTGCATGTGCTTGTTATTTGTGACAGAAAGTTCTGGTGATTACAGATTGCAGATTTCATCGGTACATATACCGTTGTTTACATATTTATGGAGGAGAAATTCAAATTAATTAACACCATCGGTTGCGTTGGCCACTTTGGACACAATACCAGCAGCAGGTGGTGTGCGCGTTCATGAACTATATTCTTGTTTTTAGGAAGAGGCTTTTTGGTTTTATTATTCTAAAAAAATGATAGACTATTTGGAGTTATGAGGAGTGCCAAGATAATCTATAGGTACCCAAGATTAAACATTAAATGGCTGGAAAAGAGCATGGGGACTTTAAGCATAAACAGCTGATGTCTTCAGATAGACATCATCCTATTTACCTTCAGCACATGTGCATTCTTCATTTCTACAGAGCCGCAGCAGCTGTCCAGCTCTCCTCTCTGGATGGTAGAATTTCACACAGTGTGTTTCTGCAAGAAGAGAGGATAACAGTGTTATAGTATATTTGACATTTGAAAATGTACATTGCATATCTGGAAAATATAATAATACCTTCTTATCCACCCTACAGTAGGCTATGCACTGAAATCTATTGGCAACAAAATAATTTGTCATACTCCAAGGTGGCAAACCTATGGCATTTGTGTGTCTGTGTGTCAGAAAAAGAGGTAGCATGGTGCAGTAGTGTAGTTTCTATTTATGGTTTCAGACTCACGAGTACTGTACTGGTGGTTGTTGTATTCATAAACAGACACAGCAGCTGGCTGTAAGATGCCCACTTTCAGCTTCTGGTGGATCCTAAAAGTGACCTCCTCTGGTCGTCTGTGAGAAACCTGTGGGGAGATGTAAAGTGAGGATGAGACAGAAAACTAGAGAAATAACAAGCCATAAAAAAAAGGATAACAGGAAAGACTGATGTCTTACCTTGTCCAGGTAGATGATGAGCGAGCCTCTTTCTGACTCCATGGTGTTCATTTTATATTTTGAAATGGTGCGTGCGCGTCCTTTGGACAACTACACACACACACACACACACACACACACACACACACACACCCTTTTAGGGTACTTGACTAACCCTGTTAGGCTTAGTCAAGTATTAGTTAAGGCAGTTAAGGTCAGGATATGTCTCCAGGAAATTAATGTAAGTCAGTGTAAAGTGCCCATAAGGAAAGGAAACAAACATACAATATGCGTGTATGTGTGTGTGTCTTACTAAGTCCAGGTCTTTTGTGTTAACAGTGAAGCCAGTTAGGAAGCCAATATCCAAGACTGACATGGGTCCATCATGCTCCTTGTTCTTATACCTGCACAAAAACAGACAAGAATGATTAAATTAAAGAGTGACTTACTAAGAAAAGCCCCTCTATCAAATATAAAAGACATAACTGGTATAAAGCTATAATCTGCTATAGTGTTTAAATAAGGATACAAAACAATCATTTTTGAAGGACCAGATTAATAAGATGCTGTTTGCAGTCAAAATGAGCTTTAAATCATAGCTTTTCAGCCAACACAGTGAAAAACTTTAACATTATTTGCTCCAGGCGTGGTACCATATGACAAAAATGCAGAGAATTAGAAGAAGTGAAATGCAGTGGTCAGTGCTTGTTAGAAAGCGCTCTGTATACTGTAGCCATTTTCCTCTGGTGTTTGCTGATGTGAGTTCTTCAATGTACTTACAAAACTTCTATTTTCAGCTTATATATCTTCTCATTCTCACTCATTTTCTCTGGAGGAGTAAAACATCAAAGAAGCATAAAATCTTTTTTCACAAAAGGCAAATATTTGGTAAGTATGTAAGTGACTATGGTCAGACAGAAGACAGCAATACATAATAGAAAAAAGCACAATAAAACGACACCAAATAAAGACAACAGGAAGACAGAGGAAACCACTGTACCTGGGAGAAGCTCCACTGACAGATTAAACTTCTGACAGTCACTCTCTTTCTCTTTTGGCAGAGCGTAATACAGCGACACCATCTGCCGCAGAGACAAAACGCTGCATTTGAACATTGCTTGCACTGTGATTCAATAATATAGGCATTTGTGTAAACTGTATTATCCACGTAAGGTTAAAATGTCTTTACTCTTATCTGGGACTCAAAAATGAACACACAGCAGAACCAGTATACGTTTCACTTACCGTCAGTGTTGCTTCTCCTGTGCCAGTGGCCATCACTTTCACATCCTGGTTTATATTATTGACCTGTTGGGATTTAAAATGTGCACACAAACACCCACACAGGCATCAGCAGGAGGGATGATATTAATGAGCCATTGTTTGTTTGTGTGAGAGGCCATGTGTTCTCACCTTAGATGTTCTTGTGGCATAGTGGTTTTCCCTGTTGAAGTTGAACTTGTCAGGCTTTGCCCTGCCTGGCATCAGGATGTCCACATTCACATCAAACTCTGCATCTTGAGCCATGGCCCAGTATTCTGACACTGCCTGGTACACTGTTAAGGTAGCCTGGAGAGAAACATAATTGGTGGTCTGAGCCCAGATTACCTGCAAACTAATAGTGCCAAAGCCTAATCTAGAGCCTACAGTAAAATGAGCCTTGTGTTACCTGAGTTGATCCATAGCCTCCATTCACTCTCTGCTGTTTATTGAACCATTCCACAACAGGTCTGGCAACTTTAATGGCCTTTATTAACAAGAGGCAAGAAAGAGATTTACATTTGTTCTACACTGCTCATGCCATTATGCATTACTTCATACCAGTTTTCAAAGCATATCCTAGATTCCTGAATCTTTGTTTTTTTTGGCACAATCAGATTTGCCTAATACAAGCAATACATAACAATAACATCATATCTCATTTGACCAAATGTACCAATCATTTTCTATGTGATGGCTAGATGTAATAAGCCTTTGTACAGCTGGGGGCAATGTAAACTGCTCAACCATCCAACTGGGTGCTGAAGGGGAGCAGGATTCTCAAAATGAAACAGAAGTCCAACACACGTCATGGATGTCTAGATAGGCTCTTTATTTAATCAGCACACATTACTAAGCTTCCGAGCAGCGTGTTTCGCATTGCAGCTTCTTCAGGCTCACTTATCTCATAATCTGTAACAGGTGTGTCTTTTAAAGGAGAAGAAAGAGCAATCAATGTGTTGATTGCTCTTTATTATGGTGAGGTTTTGTATTTCTTTGAGCGTATGTGGCTCTGTAATGATTGATTTATGTTATGTGACATGCACTGACCAATGGCTATTGAGCCATCAGAACTTTTAAAAGACACATCTGTTACAGATTGTGAGATAAGAAATCTTTAAAAACGTTGCAATGTGAAACATGTTGCTTGCAAAGTTATAGCCATGTGTACAGATTAATTAAAGAGGAACCTATCTAGATATCCCTGATATGCGTTGGACTTTTGTATTTTGATTCGTTTAAAGAAAAAGGCTGATCAGAAGGGCAAGGAACTGGCTCCACTTACTGTAATTATGGCATTCTTTGAAAAATATTCAGCAGTAAATTGAAAGGTCAGAGGAAGTGCAGTCAGGGAAATGCCTGACCTTTGTGTGGCACCATGAATGGAGACTTTATGTAATTTTTTCTATGTACTCACCTTGGCTTTGACTAGAGCTAGAAGAGTGTAAGCTGTGGCCTCCAGTGTGTAAACATGTCCCCTAGGTACAGGCCAGTGGGATAAGTCTGAGAAAAACATAGACTTTGTATCACTATGCTGTACTTGTGATAAGCCAAGAGATGGTACATATTTACTGAAGTGAACAAACAGTGTAATAGCAAGAGTCCACAGACTAATCAGATGGCTCTTGTGTACATGCTATCATCATTATGGTAAATCTGTAGATATGCAATACTCTGATCTATTCATCTATGGACTCTTGTTTCTGAATATGTATGTGAATACTGTTGTATGAAGAAACCTGGGGAAGCAAACTTGTAGAGGACCTCCCAGTTCAGTTTGTTTTCATTGGCCATGGCGTATGATGCCATGGCAATAGCATAAGGATTGACCAGGCTGGGCAGACGCTTGTCTAGATAGGCCACTGCTTTGTTTACACTGGCTGACAGACTCTGGACAGTAGAAAAGGATGAAAGGAGGAAGCAGAATAAAGGGAGAACAGACAAATAGCAGAGGTTTCACTGCATAACAGGCAACAGAGTGGTTGCGATTATAGCAATGCTCTCTATTGGAGCTGCTAAAGTTTATCCCAACAGGTAATAGCTGAGAGCAAGGGTACAAATTAACAGGACCCCGGTTTATCATAGGACCAATAGATTAATATAACATTTTAGCATTCATATTCACACTGATGGCGCAATTTAAAGGGACCACTTTGGTAATCTGAAGAACCAGAACACCCTCCCATCGCTGATGCAGGATTCTCTCTAGTCTCCAACTATGACAGTGGTCACACTGTAAATCCAGGTACACTGGATGTAATCTATAAGTGGAGCAGCTAGAACTATGTGCACTTGCAGACAGACTACATTAGTAAATGTTGTAGTGTTATTTGGTCCTGGCAATTAAAATCTTTCTCCTGCTGTATTAGTCATACTGGTTACTTAAAGTTATCACTAAGGTATGGTGAGAGTATATGAAAGCAAATTAAAATGTATGCAGGTGAATACTCACATTAACAGTGGCACTACATATTGTGCGTGACTCCTGCATAGCAATGAGGCAGAAAGCCGTCAGAGAGGCATCTGAATCTATGCCACCCACATCACCCTACACACACATACATCAGTAAAGTTATCATTATTATTACATGCATTAAAGATGATAGGCAGTGTCATGTAAGTGTTTTTGTTTTAATACAACTGTTGTCAGTAAAACCAGTCCACGCACAGTCATCACTCCATGGGCCACAGTTCCAATTTCTCTAAACAAGCCATCAGGGTGCTGTGCTTTAAGAATCAGAAATTTGACAGCATCACAGATCACTTCATTTTGCACTGCCACCAGACTGTGGGCCATCGCAAACAACTTGACAACATAGGCTGTCAGCCTTGGAGAGGAGAGGAGAGAGTTTAATTTTATTTATTTGCACATAAAAAACAATAATCTTCACACGGACACACTCTAAGCAGGAGGATGTGCAAATATTTATATGTGCACTCATGCATGCTGACAAGCCTCACCAGGTGCTGCTTTGTTGATCAGGATATCCAGCAAAGGACCCGTCCTTTTTACGGTAGGCAAGCTGATTCAGGTAACCTAAATGTAACAAACTCCTATTTAAACTCTGTACTGTACTTTCAGATTAGGTGGTTTGTACTTCTGTCTACCAAAGTGTCTTTTTTGATACAATTTTTGCTAAACTTTTGCCAGTAAACTTCTTATCTTAAACATAAGGGCTTTAAAAATGTGTGAACCCACCAGTTCTGATATGTTGGAGGGCTTCCATACGTCTTTCAATGTGCACAATTTCCCATTGGTTGGTTTTATCCAAATACATAGTTGCAATGACAGGCAGGGTCATGTGGATCATGTTCTCTTCTCCACAGCCCGAGGGCTGGTAGATCAGACTATCCATCGATGTCCAGTTGATGGCATTCTTCATCACACTTGCAGCATTTCTTCCTGCAAACATTCCCACAAACAGTGAGGTGATAATTTGATTCTAAAAACTTGGAAGAACACATCTCTTGCAACAGCAACAAGTTACTGTATACTAATGCTGAGGTAATACTACAAGCACTCTACCACGTACCATGCCTTAATATACTGTATCTCACCTGTCACGGAGATCTGTGTGCCAGTAGGTGTATTTGGAACCACATTACTCATAGAAATTCTACTGTTGAGAAGTTCCACTTGCTTACCATCTAAAAGGTAGGTAGTAATAAAACATAATAAGCAGGTATCTCAACTTATTAAGCCCATTAATTACATAGATAGAAATAATTATACATTAAACAAAAAAAACTGTGGATGTAGTTTTGTCTTTGCCCAGTTTAAGACCCTGCTTTAAATTTACCGCCTGTCCCTTGTTGATGCTGCCACCACTGTAGCAAGGGTTAGCTACTCCACCCAAAATCACAATGAGAATGAGTTGTCTACTGCAGCTTTACAGATTTTGCTGAGAAATTAAAGATAGAACCTGTGTAACTGTTATGTCTGCTCGGACACAGAGGTGAGCGAGTAAAAAATGACGGACCCAGGTAGCTGACTTCAGTGCAAGTAGTGCTCAATTTATTTACAGTGATATCAAACAAGTAAGTGTATAAAGATGGAGGGTGTAGAAGCAGGACCGGGTGTTGAGCAGCAGGTATGGAAAAACACAGTCAGTGGTGCGGTGATTGTGGGATGGCCGGGCTGCAGACGCTGGGGTTCACTCCTGGACTGGTCGGGGATGATGGTTGCTGAGGAGACAGAGTTAGTGAGGCACTTAAGAGAAGACTGTGCATCGACCTGCGTGGTGGAGATGGAACTGAGCAGAGGAGGTCCATGGTCCAGAGAAGCGAGTTGAGGAGGAGGAGGAAAAGAAGTTGGAAATAGAGCTCGGGCGAAAGGACGTGAGTAGAAGGTAAACTGTAGCATATACAAACAATCAAACAACGGGAACGTACGGGCCTGAGAATACTAGAAAGATCTGGCAGGGGAGTGGACGGTGCACAGGGTCTAAATAGGGAGAAACTAATCAGGTGCAGCTGGTGGTGATCTGGGGATGTCAAGCAGGTGTGTCAGATGGTGTAATCAGGGTGAAGGAGAAAAACAGAGTGAGGGAAGTGAGAGAGGCAGGCGCAGCCGGGCAAACCTGACAGTAACAGGGTCTTGCAGGTCAGGGGCAGGGTGCTGAGTTGAGTCGTTTCACAGTTAAAAAAAAACGTTCCTCCAAAAGGTCAAGTTAAATGACAACTCTGGTGGCAGAGGACACAGTTTATTTATCCTGTGGAGCTGCCTCAAATTACAAGATTATAATATAATGTAATCAGGTACATGAAGACATTAAGAGCACCTTCCCTTAACAACATTTATGAATTAAAACTATATTGGCCCTTCTGTAATTGTTAGAAGGCCTTGGTGCATGAGTTGGCAGACACAGGTAGGTGGCGTAAAGTTGCAGACGTTCTCATTCTCATTATATGGATTGACTGTACATGCTGTTCACCTGGGGGTCATGTGTGCTGACACCCATTGTACATGTAAACACACAAATCTGGATACACATTTTGCATTTGGTGTATGTCAGGGTCTTAACCAGGAACCTCTTTATAATTTTACAGCAGTTTAAAAAATTTCTGGTCATGTTGCAATGTAATTAACAGCCTGTAAATTCAAATGTTAAAACAGATATTACTAAATTACTGTGCTTTTCCATACTGCAACTGCTTAATAAGCAACTCACCTGCACCTTTATTTTCAGGGTCCAGAGTTACAATCTGGAGTGATTTTATTAGTAAGCCTTCAGGCTGGAAAAACAACAGTTAATACAAACATCATGAATCACAACTATTTTCAAGCAAGTTCTAGTATGTAACCAATTGAGGGGTGGGAACCTTTAGGAATCTCATCATTGGATTTTATCATAATACTTTAATTCAGAAGCATCACAGTTCAATTCAGTGATCAATTCTAAAGTGATTGTTGATTCAGTCAGCAGAAAGGAGTTCTTTGTCGGGATCTTATTAAAACACACAGTTTTTAGGTCATTTTAACATATTGCAGTTTTTGCTTGTTTACTTGAGGACTCTTTGGGGCATCTTTAAGCTGCTTGTCTTGACTATCTGTCTAAACAAAGGAGCAGGGTATTTGAGTGAAACTATGAGATATCTGAACCACTAACACATGGACTTTTTTCTGCTTTAGCCTTAACTGCAAACATTTAAAAACACTAAGCATGCAGGAGATTAATGAAATAAAAAATGTACTTCAAAGGAGATTCCCCAGTAGCACTAGGGTTCTCTTCTCTTACCACCACTCGCAGCATCCTCCTGATCCCATCACTGATTGAATTGTCTTTAACAGCTGCTTTGACCTCAATGTGGTATTGTCCCTCCTTCATAGGAATAATGACAAAGGGTACAGATCGTGTCGTTTCAGGCCCAACTCTGACTTCCTGACGATACTTTCCACGCTTAGAAGCTGCACTGCACAGATGTGCTTCCTCAACCAGATCCACACGCACCTTGAAAACAATACAAAGATGTAAAAAGACAGAGGCAGGTGAAGTTGATCAAAAATGAAGACCTGCTATAGACTGCAACAGGTGCTGACAATTTCAGGCACTCTTTGTCTTTAGAATGTTATTTGTGTCTAAAATCCAGTCTCAGTCCTGACTGAAAAATGCGGCCAAAAATAATCTATGAAACGTATCCATAACCTGTGAAAAAGGTCTATGAAGTAATTACTTAAAGGTGTCACAAGGTGGTGGTATATGTGTGTGTAAGGAGTGGGTACAAGCCAAGAGAACAATTGACATCCTGCATGAGCTATACTGTAAGTAATGCAAAGGGAAGGAGGTGGAGCTCGGCACATGCAGCATGCAGAGCCTGTCAGCCACTGTAGGAAAGGGGGGATGAGAGGCTCTGTGGGGAAGTAGAAAGGTGAATGTTTGCTTCATCCCTCCTTCAGTTAAGTCTTGGTTACATATTTTCTTTGAATTGTTGAGTGTGAGGAAATAGTGCAATGACTCCAAAGGCACAAGAAAAACTAATAGCCAAAAGAAAAAAGTAGACCAGTTTTAGACGAGACAGACTAGCAAATACTGGCAGACCAGAAATATTAATTTAGACATCTCAACAAACATAAGTAATTATACACATAACCATTACCATTTAGCTATAATTTTATATATACATTTAGAAATGTCCTAGAACCACTCAGAAAAACTGGACTGATTGTTGTTGCATGCTGGGAAATCTTGAAGGCAGACAAGACGGTACTCTCTTGTATTATTTAACATAGATTAGTTAACATAAATGGCCTGAGTGAAGACATCTTGGATCTAAGATGGGGCGACTGTGGCTCAGTGGGTAGAGCGGTTATCTCCCCACCAGAGGGTTGGAGGTTTGAATAACAGTGCCTACAGTCCACATGTTGAAGTTTCCTTGGGTAAGACACTGAAGCCCCAAGTTGCCCTGATGGTTAGAGCCATCGGTGTGAGCTGGCACTGCACATGGCTACTTCAGTTCTGTACCGGAAACAAATTCCGTGTGTGTAACATACTTAGCCAAATAAAGGTGATTATCCTTATTATTATCCTACAACAGGTGATTTTGTTTGTTGAATGTAACTTTTCTGATGCCATGTCCATTTGAGCCATGTGCCACTCCACTGGATAATTGTAACAAACAAAAAAAATTATATTGGTTTAAAATGATCCCATACAATAAATTTATATGTTTCCATGATAATCTGCAACACAAAATAAATATTCTATCCCCTTTCTGTGTAGCTTAACTTGGAAGTGTTGCTTGTAATTATTTTCATTTTTGCATGACTGTATGTGTTGTGGTGATCAGCACTGTCACCTTACAGCAAGAAGGTTCCAGGTTAGAGCCCAGAGTTTGCATGTTTTCCCTGTGCCTGGGTCGGTTCTCTCTGGGTACTCCGGCTTCCTCCCATAGTCCAAAGACATGCAGCTTAAGTTGATTGGCGACTTTAAATTTCACCTAGGACTGAGTGTGAGTGTGTGCAGTTGTCTGTCTCTAAGTGTCAGCCCTGTGATAGACTGGTGACCTCTCCAGGGTGTACCCCCCAGCTCCAGCCCCTTTATGACCCTATTCAGGAATAAGTGGTATAGATAATGGATGGATGCTGCCTTTTAGATTATGTACTGTAGGTGTTGTTGTTTTCCTCTTACCCATCTCCACCCATCTCACCCCTTATAAGGCAGCACAGAAAATGCACTACACATCAAAATATGAACACACACACACAATTTCACAGTTTAGCAGGCTTTTATGTTTTAAATCTGGTCTTAATTTATCATTTATAATCAATTAATTACTTTAAAACTCAATCTCTGTCTGCACATTATTTAGGTTTTGCACAACTCCCCAGCAGAAATTATCTGTTTTCTTTTTGGAAGTAATACTCTACACCTGTGACAAAGGTGTATTAACTAAGATTTCACACAGTGCCTGATAAAACAATTGAAAATGGCAAAAGACATTGCACTGTCCTACCCCCCTCCATGACATCATGGTGCCTACAGCTCTTCTGCTATTATTCCAGCTTTTCTTCCCTGTAATTCCAAAATACAGTCTGTAAATCTGCCCGCCTGCCACCTAGCAAAGGTTATAGGAAGCATTTTTCAGATAGCAAGTAGTCATTTCCAACAGCCAGCCATGAAGGAGCGCTCAGCAGCTAAAAGTCCAAAACAGTGGCTGTCAGACCAAAAAGGTTGCGTCCTTTTGCACAAAGAGTGTGGGACAATGAAAGAGCAAATAACAGGACATCAGTTTTTCTTTTTGCAATGGAAAGCATTAAAAGCAGGCAAAGAACTTAAATTTGATTCAGATGCGATGTTTGTCCTTCTTGGTGTGTTAGCATCTAAAGCTAACGTGTTTGTTTTGGTAACATCTGTGACCTGGCATGGTCCTGCTTTTACCTTCTTATTGAATTAATATGATTTTAATTTGGGAATAATTCAAGCTTTGTGTAACTTTAGTGCTTTGTGTCAGATTAGCAGTAACCAGACAGTTCTACTGGACTGACACATTTACCCATTTGGTCAGCAGACGTTGGCTTTATGGAGGCTGTATTTTATACAGTTTGACAACAGGCCTGTGTAGTTTATGGCATCATGAGAAAATAGGATGATGGGAGGAGCAAAGAGTGGTTAAGAGCAGTTTATGATGTCAATTGGTTTAGAAACTCACTGGACACTCTAGCAGCTGAAAAAAATATGCATATTGCAGGTAGCTGTTAAGAGCAGTTTATGATGTCAATTGGTTTAGAAACTCACTGGACACTCTAGCAGTTGAAAAAATATGCATACTGCAGGTAGCGTTAATTAAGTATGGCTTCTTGCATTATTTGCATCATTCTCTTTTTAGCCACATTTTCTCAGAAAGTCTAATATTTTCTGCCATTTTGCTGAGGGTTGGCTCATGTTAATAAAATATGATGCTGTTGGGTTGCTTGAACCCAGACTTACATCAGCAGGATCTTTTTTGTAGTTGTGGATGACAGCCTTAATTTCTATCTGCTCTCCACGAACAGCAGCGTAGGGCAGTCTGAGGTCAATGAAGAAATCCTTCCGGACAATTACCTCTAATGGGTTACCAACACAGATTCCTTAAAAATGAGAAAAATAAATGAATGATGAAACAGGAAAAAAAATAGGCTAAAGGATGGAGTAGGTTCAAAATTAGAGAGATTACTAAAACATGAAACAAGTTATTGAATCCTCACCTTTAGTTCTTGACAGACTGATGCCAGTGAACTGCCAGGTTGTGATTGAGTCTTGCAAAGGAACACTTCTCACAAGTGATGTGGTGTCACTGAAACAACAAAAATTGTAAATTGTGGTTTTAATGGCTAGTGCTGTCTTCAATGAAGTTATGACTGTATAATTTAAATTTCTGTTGTCTCACCAGTTTGGTTGATGTGGAGAGCAAGCAGGCAGTTTGATATCCTGCCACAGCCAACTCTCAGGGAACTGGGTGCGAGATACAATGTCATTGCTGTCCATGAAACTGCTGTCATCTTCCTCACCTGAAGTGTCAGTGAAAAGGTTACTGTTTTGATTCTATTACAAATACCAGTATGATCCAAGGCTTCCTGCCATTTCCTGTCTCTTACTCCGACCCAGTTGAAGGCTTCTCCCCCTCTTCTCAACTCGCTGCCTTGCCATCTCCTTGCAGCAGTGCAGGAAGGCCTCGACACAGGCTGCACCATCTGTAATGTACTCGCTCCGCCTCTCGCAGGTGTAAGAAACAGGGGTTTCCTTCATGCCGTCCAAACAACAGTCACGTTGTAGTTGGTCTTTATACTGACTCACTGGAAAGAAAAATGGTTGTGTTAAAAAAAACTTGAAAGAAAAATGGCCATAAAGCAAGAAAGAAGGCTTCCCTTTCCTTCCCTCCCTCCGGGCATGTAATAAAAGTACTGTAACAGTATGAAGAAGCAGATTCTGATGTTAATTAAATAAAGCATTGCATAAAGTAAAACTAGTTTCAGATTATTTTAGCCCTTCCATTAATGCAGGACATTGCAAAGCTGGGTTTTGTGAAGGTCAACAACACAGGAAGAGATACACAGAAGACAGAACTTCTGTGGTTCTTACCTAAGCTGGTAGTGATGTTCATTATAGTACTGGCTCGTTTCCTCCTGCTGGGTTCTATACATTTCAACTCTGAGAACAAAACACAGACCACATCTTTAACCCACCAAGGTTGGACTGAGACTTGGTGATTTACTGTAAAAAAAATAGCTTTGCTTAGACTGCTGCCCCCGCGACCCGGTCCCGGATAAGCGGAAGAAAATGGATGGATGGACCATGGTTGGCAGTTGAAACCAACATGGAAATATCTAAAGGTTCAAATAAATTGAAAAAAGCATTTGGCACA